GAAGAACCCGTCCAGAAGACCTATATAATTTTTTTCTTTTTGATTTTTTACCTGGATTACTGAGATGCATCAGGACATTGAAAGTTATAAAAATATTTGGAAAAAAACTGTAGGTAATGGTCAGGTACTGATTAAGTAATGAGTGGTTCCTTGGTAAGTACTTAGTATGCAGCTTCACTTTAAGATACACAAAAATAGTAGGTAACGGTCATTTACTGAGTAAATAATGATTAACTATTCAGTAGTTCCAGAGTAGTTCTTCTATGGCAGGGGTCTGCAACCTGCGTCTCTGGGGCCACATGTGGGTCTTTGGTCCCTCTGCAGTGGCTTGTTGAAAATGCGACCAAACATAACAGAATACATTTTTTTGTTGTTTTTATACCCACAACAGAAATCAATTTGTTTGCAAATATGTGAACAATACAACTAATAATAAAAGTAAAACATGTTAGCCTGTTGTTTACTTAAATAATCCAACTTCTTTCTCTCAAATCCATCAGAATTACCTTTAAGGAATTTGAAGACTACATAATAATGAGAATTAGAAAAATATATGCTGAATACTTCAGTTGTACTAGTTTTTATGAAATAAGGTATAAACAATATACAGTATTTTTCTTGTTTACATGAATATGCTCTTTTCGTTTGTTCTGATGTTTATAATAATAAATAATATATTAATCACAATATGTTTTTTAGTTTTATAATGTCACCTCCACTGACCGTAAAGTTTCCTGAAAAGGCCTCAAAAAGGCCCACGGACCACCAGTTGATAATCACAGTTATAGCTTGTTTTGTGGCTCTGAACACATTTCGTTAGTGAGACAAAGAGCACAAATRGCTCTTTTGATCATAAAGGTTGCAGACCCCTGCACTAAGGGGTCCCGACCCCAACTTTGGGAACCACTGGTCTATAGTGCACAACTCCACCTCCCCAAAAACACAGTTTTCTAAAGGCATTAATGACTATAATGTTAAAAATTTGAGATGTGCTAGGCTCAGCTGCATCTGCCGCGGCCATCTTCATACTCGGCTACATACTGTATGTCTTATATGTCCCTGCTGGAAGCTGCCACCRTTTATATCTCACTGACTTGATATAAAGCATCATTTATCTCAGTTCATCTTTGTTTTTGTTCCACATGAGATTAGATTTTCATCGATGCAGATCAGACGCTGAATGAAACGGCTCACCGGGGGGAGGAGGGGATGGGGGCAGGTGTCTCGCCCAGTTCCTTTGTTGGCATCCCGGCACCTGGCACCTGGGCATGTCTGAGCAACCTGTAGCTTTTTTTATTTTTTATTTTTTTTTGTGGCTCTGCTGCCTCTGAGACCGTTAGTAAGTTGGTTTAGCAAGTGGGGGGGGGGGGCATCAGGGCTCTCCTGTTACACCCCCCCCTCCCTCCCGGTGGCTTCATGCTCCACTGGAGTCCTGGTAGGCGACTTCTTTTGTGTTGGTGACCCACTAAATGTGTCAGTGACCACTTGGTGTTCACTCTTTCTGCCTCTCACTCTTCTCTGTCTCAGCGCTGCACTCCTTAGTTCACTCCTCTGGCGTTTTTGTTGTTCTTTTCTCCTTATCTACTTTGAAGAGCGCTTTCRAGCATCATCAGATCAGTAAACATTTCATCAGAACTTTGAAAACCAAAAGAATTAAATAAAAACCTGACTCTGACGTTAACATTTCACTTTGACTGTGTTCATCTCCTCGGTGTGGCCTGTGCCTTCTTCACCCCCCTGAACAGCTGTTTTCACACACAGCTCAGACAGTGTTGTCCCACCTGGAGCTTTAAACACAGTAATTACAGCCTCGGCCCTCCRTCACGCAGCCAGCTCGCTCACAAAGACCTGGCATCAGAAAAGGGTGGGACTTCCCACGTCGCTCCCATCCTGGCTAAAGCTCTGGAGCTGGACACACACAACAGCATTCCTCTGTGGCTCAGGGCGGACAGGAAGCTCAGCTTTGGTGGCTAAGCTCAGGCATCCTGCTGAAATATGCAAATRTGTTTTGTAGYAGGCAGGTGACACTTTGGTGGAAATCCTCAGATTCTTTACATTAATGATGGGATTTGTTTTGCTTTATGTGAAATGTTTGCTATGAGTGATACTGTGTTCAAACTAACTACTGCTGTCTGATTTGTTGATGTAGTTACTCTGACGTCTGTCACATGACAAATCCTGAAAGTTTAAAAACAAGCGTCTGATGCAGTTTAAAGCTTCCAGTTTGGACTTTAAAAACCCCAGAGCTGTAAGTCCAGCTCCCTTTAAACGTTCAGGTTCTGCACACATTGTGCTACTTTTAACTCAGTTCAAAAATATTTAATTGATCCCAAAGGGAAATTACMGTTTTGTCATTCCTGTATCAAAACCTTCAATTCATTTTGGAGATAGYAGCTATGACTTGTGTTTTTTTTTTTTACAACTTTTTTATTCTTTTTCAAAATATTTTATCTACACTTTAGACACTACAGTATTTTCAAACGTTTCCCCACATAAATGCTAGGGATGCAACAATACATGTACCCGTATTGAACAATACAGATTTTAAAAATTGATTTTATCAACTTGTCTTCTGAAGATGCTCTGTGTTGAAGGATCAGTGGATCTGTGTTCGACTACTCCACCTAGGCTGCATTTTTGAGTGCAGATCCACAGAGAAACTTGCTGTTTCAGCAACATTTAATTAAAAAAAACAGTACTTTTGAGGTTAAACAAATGTTCATAATTAGTATAAATAAATAACAAGTTAAAAGGGGCATGGAAATTTCTCTTTTCTGTATCGAAAAAAATATCGAACCATGAGACTAAAGTATCAAACCGAACCGTGAATTTCCTGTATCGTTGCAGCCCTTAATAAATACATTTATTGAGCTCTTCAGTTCTTTCAAATATTGTTCTCCTTAAAATCTGCATCAGCATTCCTGCTTTGTTTGTCTTCTTAGGCTGCTTTTAGTTTATAGCTACTTTTCTGCAACTTTAAGCTAACCTTTTACTAATTTTAGCTTGACTTTTGTTACTTTTGGCTAACATTTTGTTTATTTTAGCTTGACTTTAGTTGCTTTTAGCTAAACTTTTGCTAATTTTAACTTGACTTTTGCTGCTTTTTGTTAATTTTAGCAGGCATTTTTTTACTTTTAGCTAGCCTTTTATTTATTTTAGCTTGACTTTTGTTACTTTCAGCTAGCCATTTACTAATTTTACCTAGCTTTTGTTACTTTTAGCTATCCTTTTGTTAAATGAAACTTTCTACCTTTTCCTAGCCCTTTGCTAACTTTAGCAGCCTTTTATATTTTAACTAGCCTTTGCTTAATTGTAGTTAGCA